CAGAACTTGTGTGTGACAGCTGAACGCAATCCTCAATGCGGCAAGATCGCATGTGATGCGCATGGTGTGTATCGCCAACCCGTCCCGTTTTCTATCACAGAACATGCTCTCGCCGGTCTTGCCGGCGTGGCAAGACAGAAGCGCAATCCTCAGCCGCTGTCTGCGGCAACTGTGCGCGTTAAGACGGAGTTGGGCGCCAAACGAAGCAACAAAGTTGGCAGGTAGCTCGTTTTCATGTGACAGCCAGACAGGCCTTGTTCGCACCAACTGAATGCCAGGGAACGTGCCGCCAAGAGGATTGACGCAGAGAGTGGTGAAGACCCGGACGCACTTGAGGACAACTGACATTCTTCGCAACTTGTCGGCAAGGAAGGGCATTTTTCACTTTTGCCGATGAACCGTTCAAGGGCGCGCAAGACTCATCAGGATTAGAAGCGGACAGGGTCGCCGACAAGAGGGGTTGGTGGACCGCTGAGCCAACACTCGATCCAGGATGACAAAACAACTCTACTAGCCCCAGGCAGGGTCCAGAAGTGTTGGAAGCTTCGCTGCCAGCATCATCATAGGATTGCAGATCAATCCCGTTTGCGAACCAGGTCTTTGCACCTTATGAAGGAGGTACGACCAGTTTCGAACAGAAGGTGAAGTATGTCAAGCAGCCAGTGCAAACGCTCTGGGTGATCTGACTTTCATTGATCATTGCCAGGATGGAGCGACAACCTTGCTTGCAGCAGAGATAGTGAAGGCCACACAGGAAGTTGAGAATGTCTGTCCTCAAGAACTGTTTGCGCCAATATCTCTGGGACCAAATTCAATGCGGCCAAGCCGGGCAGAGACAGCGCCTCAAGGGGCACGTCAAGCCCATGCTGGACTCCTCCAAATCAAAAACAGCTCCACCGTCTCTCAACTTGCCAGGGCGCTCGAAGGAAGAAGACCAGCGGATCTCGGGCAATCTGGTGCAGCATCGCTATTGAAGGAGGTGGTGAACCGCTTTCAGCAGCGCAAGTCAAGCAACTTGCTCGCGCGCCTTTTCAAGGATCCCGCAGTCAGATTATAGTGGACGAAATCACCAAACCGCGTCCATATCGGTGACGGACAACCCCAAGGCTCGCTCGGATTGCAGCAAGGGAAGGAGCTACGGTGGGACTTGATCCTAGAAAAAGATTGACCAAGGCCAATTCCGCAAAAGTCGGAAAAGCTGAGACCGTTCCACTTGGGAAACTAGGGTCCGATTTCCTGCTACAAGACGAGAAGGAAGCGCTAACGCCAGCGCCAGGCCTTCACATAAGCGACTTCGTATGCTTCGGATTGAGCGCCGCCGCACTTACCAAGTCCGAGCCAGAGGTTCTGTTCGGAAGACCTGTCGATGACGTCAAGTGCTTGCACAACCATGTGTCTACGCTTAAAGACCAAAATCAATTTCTGATGTTGACAGGGGTTCCAACCTTCAACTTCATTCCTGCCAACCCGCAACACTGACTGAATCTTGCCCTCCTTGCAAAGATCTCAACGATGTCGATCTTACCATTTTTCACGCAGTTCCAACGTGCGTATTCATGTGTAGCCGAGGTCCTCAACGAGCAACGTCTCCCACCGCTGTTGCTGAAGGCAAGTAAGGGTGGCGGTGGTTTTCTCGCAGCACGAACCTGTGTTGCCCAGGTGGAGTGGTCTCACCTTTACGTGCCTTAGTAGTAGCGTTGACCTTGACGAGGCGTGTTTCGAGACCAACAACACGAACTCCTGCAAAGATTCTGCGCAGATCTCGCGTGGTGTATGCCGAGCTTCCTGAAAGGCTTGTCTCGCAAGTTGTTTGACTTTGCGCTGGGGAAAGCGCGTCTTCGGTTTGTCCAATCGCCAGCTGCGTTGGTGTTGCAACATCAAGATCTGCAGGTCTTCTGCAAGTGGTGTAACTCTTCCATAGCCGACGGTCTGATCTCGAACAGTTGCTGTGGCCTTGGCTGCAAGCGAGATAGGTGTGACATTCGGACTGGTAGAAGCGTCTTGCGTGTTGTTTCTGTCATGAAGGCTGAAATTTCCTGTCTATGGCTCCAGGTGACGCTAGTTCCTGAGGACTGTGACGATCTCGGATTTCTGCCTAGTCTTGACTGCCCCAACCGTCCATCATATCTCCAGAGGTATTTGCGCGTAGTCCGCTCGTTGTGCTGCAGCTTGGAATTGAACTTCACCTTCTGTCTCGATGTTGTCTTAGAGGTCGGATGTCTCCTTCGGCAAACGCAGTGCCCGAGTTCGAAGTCGAAATTGTTCTGTCATCGCGCGACGATGCTGGAGCTTGAGCTTATTGAGTTATTTGGGTCGCGAGACTTTCTTGTGAATCCTGCCTAGCACAAGTGCAAGTGTAGTATTCTCATCTTAGGTTGGTTCAGCAACTGATGATAGGTCATTGGTTGAGGAATCCTTCTTGTTGACGAAATTATTTCTTCTGCTAATCCAGTTGCATCTTGCTTGTCATTCAGCGGCTCCTTGGCGAAGGTGAACATGGTTCGACGCGCCCTAGGTACTGCGTTGCGGAGCGCCCCAGACATCGACTATTGCCTCCAGCAACCGTTCGCGTCAGGGCCTTTTCGTTGGACATCGCCTTCAATGGAAGAAAATATGCTGGCGCACCAACGTCCATCAGAATGTTGCCACGCGTGGGCGGAAGAGACAAGCTTGGACAACCCCTTTGGCGCCGCAGACGCGCGCCGCCTACAGGGGCATGTCAACTGGTTACAGCCATAGCGGTTGTCAAGTTTCTCGTTGTGCTCCGCGTGCAGCCGTTGCAGATGTCCGCGCCGCCAGTAAGGCTGTGACTGTGAGAAGAACCAGGAGCAGGAGTGTTTCTATCAACGCGCGTGCTGGCTTCCCTCACACCGAAACAACTTCGCTAAGAGCGCGGCTCCCTGAGCAACCGCGAGACTCGCAAGATCGTTACGGCCCACACATCATGGCGCTGAAGGAGTTGGCAGAGGCAATGTTTGCCGAACTCAGATCATGATGAGGTGTCTTCAGGTTTGCCTGCCGCGGCTTTTTCCACTTGTGCGCTTGAGGAGGCCTGTTGCGTCGGCGCGCTGTCAAGAGCTCGCGCGGCCAAATTTCGGGGCTGACTTCTTGACGCGAGTCTCGTTCCCAGATCGACCGAAGTTCCCGCCGCTTGCAAAGCGGAGGGCGCCGGAGGACAAACAACCGACCAAACGCCGCCCCGGCCGCTTCAATTTCTCGCGGCGCCTCTTGACTTTGTCAACACGGATATGACAAGCGAGGCGAGACGGGCAGCTTTTCACACCGGCGAAGACGCCCAGAGCGTCTCTGTTTGCGCTCATCAAGCCATGTGGCAAACTAGCTGCGCCGATTGCCACACAAAATTGCTGCAGCGAGACTGCAGTGGCAGCGGGGTATAAATAGTTCGATGTTGGAGGTCAGAGGAAGTTTTAGTCTGTTTTCTTTGTTTTGTTCTGCTTCTTCATGACAGTTGGCCTCCCAGCACTTGCATTCATCACAGGTGTATACCTTTAGCGCAAGGCCCTTCATCAAGTTTGTACTGTTTGAGGCACGAGGACAAGGAGCCGGTAGCTGATCGAGAGTGATAGTCCGCTGGGAGAGAGAGAGAGAGAGAGACAGAGAGAAAGGGTGTGTGGGGGTGTGTGGGTGTGTGTGTGTGTGGGGGTGTGTGGGGGTGTGTGGGTGTGTGGGGGTGTGTGGGGGTGTGGTGTGTGTGTGGGGTGTGGTGTGGGGGGGTGTGGGGGGGTGTGGGGGGGTGTGGGGGGGTGGTGTGGGGGAGAGAGAGAGAGAGAAAGAAACAGAGAGAGAGAGAGAGAGAAAGAGAGAAAGAAGAAAGAAAGAAAGAGAAGAAAGAAAAAAGAAAGAAAGAAAGAAAGAAAGAAAGAAAGAAAGAAAGAAAGAAAGAAAGAAAGAAAGAAAGAAAGAAAGAAAGAAGAAAAGAAAGAAAGAAAGAAAGAAAGAAAGAAAGAAAGAAAGAAAGAAAGAAAGAAAGAAAGAAAGAAAGAAAGGAAGAAAGAAGAAAGGAAGAAGAAAAGAAAGGAAGAAAGGAAGAAAGAAAGAAAGAAAGAAAGAAAGAAAGAAAGAAAGAAAATAATGAAAGAAAGAAAGAAAGAAAGAAAGAAAAGAAAGAAAAGAAAGAAAGAAAGAAAGAAAAGAAAGAAAGAAAGAAAGAAAGAAAGAAAGAAAGAAAGAAAAGAAAGAAAGAAAGAAAGGAAAGAAAGAAAGAAAGGAAAGAAAGAAAGAAGAAAGAAAGAAAGAAAGAAAGAAAGAAAGAAAGAGACAGAAAGAAAAGAAACAAAGAAACAAAGAAACAAAGAAACAAAGAAACAAAGAAACAAAGAAACAATCAAACGAAAGAAAGAAAGAAAGAAAGAAAGAAGGAAGGAAGGAAGGAAGAATGAAAGAAAGAAACAAAGAAACAAAGAAACAAAGAAAGAAAAAGGAAGGAAGGAAGGAAGGAAGGAAGAAAGAAAGCAAGCGAGAGAGAAAGAAGGAAGGAAGGAAGAAAGATAGAAAGAAAGAAAGAAAGAAGGAAGGAAGGAAGAAAGAAAGAAAGAAACAAAGAAAGAAAGAAAAAGGAAGGAAGGAAGGAAGGAAGAAAGAAAGAAAGCAAGCGAGAGAGAAAGAAGGAAGGAAGGAAGGAAGGAAGGAAGAAAGAAAGACAGAAAGAAAGAAAGAAAGAAAGCAAGCAAGCAAGCAAGCAAGAAGGAAAGAAAGAAGGAAAGAAGGAAAGGAAGAAGAGAGAGAGCGAGAGAGGCTTGCCAGGGCGCCTTCGATGCAATCTTCATTTGGCCACGCGTGCCGTCCACTACTGTGTTTTTTAGCGATCTTCTCGGTGTCGGGCTTCGTTCTGGGTTGTGCTGGGTCTGGGCAGATCTCCATGATCTAAAAAGCGGCCCGCCTCCCGGCCCTGCAAATCTCAAAGTTTGTTGCTGGTTCTACACTTGCCCGGCCCCCACATCCTCAGGTCTCACAAGCTTCGGGGACGAAATCTTTGGCAGGTACGAACCCTTGCCAAACGGGGACTCTCTCAAGTCCGCCATCAAACAGGTGGCCTCAGGCCGGTTCGGGGTGACTATGGAGTATTTGTCCAACGGCTTGGAGCTGCAGATCAAGATGGCCCAGGGAGCTAAGCCCGGAGAGGGCGGCGAGCTGCCGGGGAAGAAGGTCCAGGGGGGCATTGCCAAGACCCGGAACTCCACACCGGGGGTAGGCCTCATCTCGCCGCCCCCGCACCACGACATCTACTCAATCGAGGACTTGGCGCAGCTCATCTTTGACCTGAAGAACTCCAACCCGGATGCTGGAGTCAGTGTGAAGTTGGTCAGCGAGATTGGGGTGGGCGTAGTGGCAACAGGGGTTGCAAAGTGCAAGGCGGACCACATTTTGATCAGCGGCTGTGACGGTGGCACTGGCGCCTCCAAGTGGACTGGCATCAAGCATGCTGGCGCGCCTTGGGAGATCGGCCTGGCAGAGACCCATCAGACTCTAGTGCTCAACGGCCTCCGGGGCCGCGTGACCTTGGAAACGGATGGCCAGTTGCGCACGGGCCGGGATGTGGTCATTGCGGCCCTGCTGGGCGCGGAGCGATTTGGCTTTGCCACTGCCCCGCTCATCGCTATGGGCTGCATCATGATGCGCAAGTGCCACCTCAACACTTGCCCCGTAGGCATTGCCACCCAGGACCCAAACCGTGCCAACTTCCCCACATGTCAATCCATTCTGGACTGCCGGGCTCATGGTTCCGGCTGCCAGGACCCTGTGCTGCGGAAGAAATTCGAAGGGCTTCCCGAGCACGTTGTGAACTATCTCCTGCTCGTTGCTGAAGAGGTGGGCCCATGTGACGCCAGTGCGACCAGGAGGAAAGGACAACGGGCTTGGTACACACATCACCTGGAGCTCATTCGCATTTCGTGCTTGAATCTGTTGATGTTGAGGAACTAGGAACTGGGCGCTCCTTTCCACTTTTGCTTGTGAAGGGTGCGTCAAGGTGCGAGTGCTCATGGCCAAGATGGGCTTCCGGAACATGGACGAGCTCATTGGCCACGCCGAGGCCCAGTGTCCAACGAAAGCGTTGCTGCTGGTTGGGATGTCTCAGCCGCGCCATGTGGGATGATATGGCGCACTTATTGGATGGCCATTTATGCGAAAGGCAGCTTCCTTTCGATGTCGAGTTGTGGCTTGGAATGCTTACAAGAAACGTTACTTCGCTGGAATGTCTTCGGCAGTGTTTGCCTCCTGTTACCCCTCTTTACGCTCAATTGCTCTTGTCAGTTGCCTCTTGGATGGGTGATTTGGGGATTTGAATCAAACGGGGAGAATTCCGCTCAGGCAGTAAGGTGATTTTGGAAGGGGTCTTGACTGCAAGGGGCCTGTGTCTCCGTTGGAACGCGCGTGCCAGGTGCTGCGCTCGGACCCTGCCAACCGCATGGGCCCGCTCCAGCTGGAGCCCATCCTGGCGCCAGCCCACCAGCTGCCGGACGCGGGGAAAATGGGCGCCTTGGCTGGGAGCAGACCAAGTGTGGCAAGGCTGTTTATAACCCGTAAAACCAGCGCAGCGCAGAAAGTGCGCAGCGACACACCCACAGCACCCGCGCAACACATGCCCAAAACCCAAGCACGCGCATGATTGCAAGCAAGCGCGCCAGCAAACAAGCAAGCAGGAAAGCAGGCGAGCGCGCGAGCGAGCAAGCAAGGAAGCAGGCAAGCGAGCAGGCAAGCAAGCAGGCAAGCAAGCAGGCCATCCAGCCAGCAAGCAAGCGAGCAAGGAAGCGCGCGCAAGGAAGCGAGCGAGCCAGCAACCAAGCCACCAAGCAAGGAAGCCAGCAAGCGCGGGAGCGGGCAAGCAAGCGAGCCAGCCAGCCAGCCGGCCAGCAAGCGAGCAAGCAAGCAAGCGCGCGGAGAAACAAAGAAACAAAGAGGCAAAGCGACGAAGAGACAATGAGACGAAACAAAGAAGCAACAAAAAAGGAAGCAGAGAAACAAAGAAGCAAAGAAACAGAGCGAAACAGCAAAGAAGCAAAGAAGCAAAGAAACGCAAAACGCAAGCACGCGGGCACGCGCAAACAGACAGGCAGGCAAGCCGACAGGCAGACAGACAGACAGAGACGGACGGACAGAGACAGCCAGACAGACACAGCAGACAAACAGACACACACAAACACACGCAGAGAAACAGACGCAGGCACAGACGCAGACCCAGAGCGGCAGAAGCAGACAGACAGCCAGATAGGAAGCCAGACAGACAGACAGACAGACACACATACAGACAGACAGACATCTGCAATCAGGCAGACTCAGACTCAGACGTATCACACACACAAGCGCTGACCTCACAATCACTCAGACACCCAACCGACCAAAGAAACAAACCAAACAGGCAACCAAACAATCAAACAAACACAAACGCACACACGCACAAACAATCAAACAAACATCCAAGCGCAGAAAGAAACATGCGAACAAGCAAGCGACAGGCAAGCGAAGAAACCAACACAAACAAATAAACGACCGAAGAAACAAGCGCAAACAAACACAAATACAAACGCAAACGGAAAAGCGCAAACACACAACAAACAACCGACCAACCAAGCAAACAAAAACAACAATCAACAACCAACCGACCGCCCGACTGCCCAAACAAACAAACAAACAACCAAGAAGAAAGCAAGCGAACCAAGCGAACAAGCAACCGGGCGAAAAACCAACCAAACAAACAAACAAACAAGCGCAAAGACAAAGCCACACAAACAAACAAACAAACAAACAAACAAAAACACGCGCCCCAATGCACAAACAACCAAACAAACACACAAGCAAGCAGGCGAAGAAAACAAAACGCTAAGCAAGCAAGCGAGCGAGCGAGCGAGCAAGCAAGCAAGCAAGCAGGCAAGCAGGCAAGCAGGCGCAAGCAGGCGAACAAACGCGCAACCAAACCCACACAGGCAAGCAAGCGGAGTCACAAACAAAACGACCAACAGGCAAACAAACGGTTAAACAAACAAACAAACAAACAAAGAAGCAAGCAAGCAAGCAAGCAAGCAAGCAAGCAAGCAAGCGAGCAAGCCAGCGAGCGAGCGAGCGAGCAAGCCAGCAAGCCAGCAGGCGAGCAAGCAAGCAAGCAAGCAAACACACAAACGAGCAAACGAACAAACGAACAAACAAGCGAGCAAGCAAGCAGGCAAGCGTCCAAACAAACACTCAAGCAAGCAAGCAAGCAAAAACAAGGCAAAGAAAGACAAACGAAGACCAGCAAACAAAACAGCAATCAGTGAAGCAAACACGCGAGCGAATAAACGCACAAATAACTAGCTCGTGAAAAATGCCATGAACACAAGCAAGACAGAGCCCACGACCCCCAATGCGCATCACTTTGCGCGAGCTCAAGCAAATAATTAGGGAGAGCGTGTTTCGGTGTGAGCCAACGGGGCTCGCAATCAAGTCAACTGCGCAAACTGTTCTATCATCTTGCGCGCCTGTGCTTTGCGTACTCGACTTGTGCTACAAATTCACGATTTTCGAACTGCAGCTGGACACCCGAGCTTCACGCGCTTGACTTGTACTACACAGTTGCGATTTTCCAGCTGGAACTGGAATCCTGTACTTCGCGTACTAGACTTTCGCTGCAAAAAGTTGCGATCTCCAGCTAGGGCTGGAAACCAGTACTTCGCGTACTTGACTTGTGCCACGAAGTTACGATTTTCGACTTTGAGATGGACACCAGCAAGACTTGTGCTTCAACTTTGCGATTTTCCATCTAGAGCTGGAACTCTGTACTTCACATGCTAGACTTGCAACACAAAGCTGCGATTTTCCAGCTAAAGCTGGAAACCTGTTCTTCGCGCACTAGACTTGTACTTCAAAGTTGTGATCGCGTGCTACTACAAAGTTGCGATTTTCGAGCTGGAGCTGGGATCCTATACTTCGCGTGCTAGACTTGCGCTACCTAGTTGCGATCTTCCCCGTACTACAAAGCTGCGATTCTCAAGCTAGAGCTGGAAACATGTACTTCGCGTACTAGGCTTGTACTACAAAGTCGCGATTTTCCAGCTACCGCTGGAAACCAGTACTTCGAGTACCCGACTTTTCCTACAAGGTCGCGATTTTCTACCTGGAGCTGGGAACCTGTATGTACTTCGCGTACTAGACTTGTTCTACAAAGTCACGATTTTCCAGTTGGAGGTGGAAACCTGTACTTTGCGTACTAGACTTGTACTACAAAGTTCAGCTAGAGCTAGAAGCCTATACTTTGCCTACTAGACTTGTGCTACAAAGCTGCGATTTTCGAGCTGGAGCTGGAAACCTGTACTTCGTAGACTTGTGCTACAAAGTTGCGATTTGCATCTACTGTTGGGCTGGAAGCCTGTACTTCACGTACTAGAGTTCCAGCTAGAGCTGGCAACTTGTTCTTTGCGTACTAGAGTTGTACTTCAAAGTTGCGATTCTCCAGCACAACGCCCAAGCATCTTTCAACACAACGCCCGGGAGCGACTTTTGTCACTGACACTTTTGAGAGACGCTTTCGAGCAAGAGCTTGGGCGACGCTTCTGCACGAAAAACTAGCGACACTTCTGAAGACACTTTCAAGCGGTGTGTCGAATCACGCTCCTAAGCGACACCCCTGATTGCCTCATCTACGCGTTGCGCAGCAATCTTGAAGCCATACCTCTACCTCTGAGAGATAATCTACACTCACGCGCACATAGGCGACACTGCTGAGCAGCGCATCAAGCAACACTTGTACACAAACACACACACAGAGACACACAGACAGACAGACAGACAGACAGACAGACAGACAGACAGACAGACAGACAGACAGACAGACAGACAGACAGGCAGGCAGACAGACAGACAGACAGACAGACAGACAGACAGACAGACAGACAGACAGACAGACAGACAGACAGACAGACAGACAGACACACACACACACACAAACACACAAACGCAACACACACACACAAACACACAAATCACAAACACACAAACACACACAAACACACAACCACACACACAAACACACAAATCACAAACACACAAACACACACAAACACACAACCACACACACAAACACACACAAACACACACAAACACACACAACCACACACAACCACACACACAAACACACGCACAAACACACAGACAAACACACACAAACACGCACAACCACACACAAACACACACACACACAAACACACAGACAAACACACACAAGCACACACAGACACACACACACAAACACACAGACACACAAACACACAGACACACAAACACACACACAAACACACTCGCAAACGCACACAAACACACAAACACACACACAAACACACACAAACACACGCAAGCACACACAAACACACACACACAAACACACACAAACACACAAACACAAACACACACAAACACACACACAAACACACACACAAACACACAAACACACACAAACACACACACAACACACACACACAAACACGCACAAACACAAACAAACACACACAAACACACACACACAAACACAGACAAACACACACAAACACACACAAACACACACAAACACAGAAACACACACACAAACACACAGACACACACAAACACACACGCAAACACAAACACACACACACACAAACACACACAAACACACACAAACACACAAACACACACAAACACACACACACACACAAACACACACACACACACAACCAGACACACAAACACACACACAAACACACACAAACACACAAATGACAAACACACAAACACACACACAAACACACACAAACACACACAAACACACACAACCACACACAACCACACACACAAACACACACACACACAAACACACAAACATACACAAACACAAACACACAAACATACACAAACACAATTCACACCCACACGCACACCCATTTGCACACGCACACGCACACGCACACGCCCACGCCCACGCCCACGCGCACGCGCACGCGCACGCGCACGCGCACGCGCGCGCGCACGGACAGACACAGACACAGACACAGACACGGACACAGACACAGACACAGACACCCACACCCACACCCACACCCACACCCACATCCACACCCACAACCACACCCACACCCACACCCACACCCACACGCGCACGCACACGCACACGCACACGCACACGCGCACGCGCGCCGCACCAGCACGCGCACGCGCACGCGCACGCGCACGCGCACGCGCACACACGCACACGCGCACACGCACACACGCGCGCACGCGCACACTTGCACACGCGCACACGCGCGCACGCGCGCGCGCACGCGGGCGCACACGCGCGCGCACAAGCGAGCACACGCGCGCGCAGGCACACACAACACACGCACACACACACACGCACACACACACACACACGCACACACACACACACACACGCACACACACACACACACACGCCCACACACACGCACACACACACCCAGACACACACACACCCACCCACACACACCACACGCCACACACCACACACACAACATACCACACACCACAGACCACACTCCACACACCACACACCACACACCACACACCACACACTACACAACACACAGCGCACAGCACACAGCGCGCAGCGCGCAACACACAACACGCAACACACAACACATAACACACAACACACAACACGCAACACACAACACGCAACACAACACACAACACACAACACACAACACAACACGCAACACACAACACACAGCACACAACGCACAACGCAACACACAACACACAACACGCAACACACAACACAACACACAACACACAACTCACACACACACACAACCCACACCGCACAACGCACGCCGCGCAACGCGCAACGCGCAACGCGCATCGCGCGTCGCGCACCGCGCAACGAGCAACGTGCAACGCACATTGCGCAACGCACAACGTGCAACGCGCAACGCACAACGCACAACCCACAACGTGCAACGCACAACCCGCAACGCGCAACGCACAAGGCGCAAGGAACAACACGCAACGCACAACGCGCAACGCGCGACGCACCACGCGCAACGCACCACGCACCACGCACCACGCACCACGCACCACGCACCGCGCACCACGCACAACGCGCAACACGCAAAACGCAACGCGCCACGCGCGACGCGCGACGCGTGACGCGCCACGCGCCACGCGCAACGCGCAACGCGCAACGCCCAACGCCCAACGCGCAACGCCCAACGCCCAACGCCCAACGCGCAACGCGCAACGCCCAACGCCCAACGCCCAACGCGCAACGCGCAACCCGCAACGCGCAACCCGCAACCCGCAACAACACGCAACACGCAACACGCAACACGCAACACGCAACACGCAACACGCAACACGCAACACGCAACACGCAACACGCAACATGCAACACGCAACACGCAACACGCAACACGCAACATGCAACATGCAACACGCAACACACAACACACAACACGCAACACGCAACACGCAACACGCAACACACAACACGCAACACACACAACACACAACGCACAACACAACACACAACACGCAACACACCTTCTGAGCGACACTTCTGAGCAACACTTCTGAGCTAACACACACACACACATGTAAGCGCTCGCTTTTCTGAGCGACACTTCAGCATCTGAGCAACACTTCTGATTCACACTTCTGATCGATGCTGCGCAGCACTTCTGATCGACACTTCAGAGCAACACTTCCGAGCGACACTTCTGACCGACACTTCTAATCGACGCTTCTGAGCGACCCTTCTGAGCAACGTGTCTGGTTGACGCTCTTTCTGATCGACTCGTCTGAGCAACGCTTCTTGAATGCCACTTCTGAGAGACTTCTCAGCGACACTATTGATCGACGCTTCTGACGGACACGTCCGAGCAACACTGCTGATCGACGCTTCTGAGCAACACTTCTTGAGTGACACTTCCGAGAGACACTTCTCAGCGACACTATAAACCGACACTTCTGACGGCCACTTCTGAGCAACACTTCTGATCGCCGCTTCTGGCCGGCACTTCTGAGCGACCCTTCTTAGAAACGTCTCGCGCCAGGTCTCTTGTCTCGAAAGTTGCACCGCGCCACAGCGAGAGCGATTCGACTCGCCCAAAGTGCGCAAACTGCTAACCCTGCGACCCGCGCCGCGCGCCCAAAGCGCGCACAGGGTTCGCCCTGTGATTTCAAAACGTGCACCCTTTGCGTTTTAAAAATGTGCGCCGCGCCACAGCGAGGGCGATTCGGCCCGCCCAAAGCGCGCAGAGGGTTCAATTTGCATTTCCAAAACGCGCTGCTCGCCGCAGCGCGAGCGATTCGACCCGCCCAAAGTGCGCAGAGGGTTCACTTTGCGTTTTTAAAAATGTGCGCCGCACCACAGCGAGAGCGATTCGACCCGGATAAAGCGCACAGAGGGTTCACTGTGAACCCTGCCCCAATGGAATGGCGACGAACTCGCGCGAAAGGTGTTTCTTGAATCAGGTCAGAACGAGCCGGTTGTACGACAGCTCCAACGAAAATGACAGTAGAGCAAGCGCTTGCGCGGGCATTCGAAGCAAAACGCCTCAACACGAAAACCCCGGAGTCGGGAATCCCATTGTATTTGCAACGCAAACGTAGAAGCTCACGAAGCACTGCGCCTGCGCAACGAAACGAGACGTCGAGCTTGAAAAGCTACGGTTCGCGGCAGGGCCACCAAAAACAGCGCGTCGCAAGTCATCAAACTCACATATTCTGCGCGCCCAGAATTAGTTGAATTTTGGACCCTGCAACGGCGGTCGGCTCGTCGTCGGCTCCTCGTCGGCTCGTCGCGAACAAGAGTCCAACCCCCAGGCCCCCCCGCTCTAAACGAGAACCCTTCGCTACGCGTTCGGGAAAAAGGCATTTGCGCAAGCCACCAAACGAGCAAAAAAGCAAACAGACACAAACAAACAACAAGCAACCGAACAAACATACAAACAAGCAAGAGAACAAACAAACCAACAAAAAAGCAAAAAAGCAAGCGACCAAACAAACAGGCAGGCAAACAAACAATCAAACAAATAAAGCAGCGCACAACCGCACAAACACACAAACCTACAAACCCATCAGCCCAAACACCTACAAACACAATCGGGCAAGCAAAAAGCAAGCGGACAAATCAAACCAGCAAACAAACAAACAACCAAACACACAAACAAGCGACTTCGCAAGCAAACCAAACAAACAGAACCAACAACCGGCAAACAATCCAACCAACCAACCAACCAAACAAATAAGCAATCAGGCGCACGAGCAAACAAAAAACCAAGCAAACAAACAGGTCATCACGCCATGAGGTGCCTGGTGATTTTCAAATCTCACCCTTCTTGATTTCAACGCGCCTGCAAATGATTTCAGCTTGTCTCAATACAAATCTGTGCCTTTCCCCCAAACTAATGTTTTTCAGCGAAAACACTTCATTTGACATCATGTCCAGTTGGGCTCCATTTTGGGTTGCGCGCTGCAAACACTGTTCCTATCAGACACACACACACACAACAACAACACAAACAGACACGGGCACGCTCGCACGCGCACACACACACGCGCGCAACACACAGACACACGCAGCCTAGACAACAGGACAACCAACAAAACGCACAGAACGCACGAAACACACGCGCACGCACACACGCAAACAAACGAGCAACCAAAGAGAAGAAGCAAAATACCCAACAACCCAACCAACAGACACAAACAAACAATCAAACAAAAAGGCGAGCAAGCAAGCAAGCAAGCAAGCAAGCAAGCAAGCAGGCAGGCAGGCAGGCAAGCAAGCAAGCAAGCAAGCAAGCAGGCAAGCAAGCAAGCAAGCAAGCAAGCAAGCAAGCAAGCAGCCAAGCCAGCAAGCGAGCCAACCAGCCAGCCAGCCAGCCAGCCAACCAACCAACCAAGCAACCAACCAACCGCCGTCCAAGCAAGCCAAGCCAACAAACAAGCGAGCAAACGAGCAGACAAGCAAGTAAGTCCATAAACAATGAGAATCCCCAACCAACACCACACACACATGCGCAAACCTACAAACCCACCAGGCCCCTGCGTTCACAAACATACCGACAAACAAGCAAGCAAGCGAGCAAGATAACAAGCAAACAAGCAGGCGAACACGCCAAACAAACGCAAGCGAGCAACGCGGCAAGCGGCAGGCAGGCAAAAGAAACCATCGGAGAAACACAGAGAAATAAGCGAAAAACAACACAATCAGTCAATCAAACAAACAAACACACAGAAACAAACAAACAAGCAAGCAAATACAAAGAAACAAACATAGACAAAGAATCAAACAAACAGACAGACAGACAGACAGACAGACAGACAGACAGACAGACAGACAGACAGACAGACAGACAGACAGACAGACAGACAGACAGACAGACAGACAGACAGACAGACAGACAGACAGACAGACAGACAGACAGACAGACAGACAGACAGACAGACAAACAGTCAAAGACACGCGGTCACACAAAGCTATCTGTAATGGCCTGACACAAAGCTATCAAGCGCCAGCGTTTGCCAAGGAAAGGTGGAGAACCGGAAGCTTTACGGCCAAGAGCACTTCATGGTCCTGCAGAGGATGATTGACCGAACTCTCGTCGAGGACAGGATGGTTGCGGGTTCCGCGCTTGGAAGCCCCAACTTCAAGCCGGCTTCATCAGATTTGCGCGGAGCCTTTAGCTGTTCTCTTTGCAAACAGAAGGACTGCAAGATGACTTTCCGCTATGGCGAGCGGTCCTATGTGGAGTACAACCAGCTGAACAACGCCGACCGCACTTGCGGGACCTTGCTGTCTCACGAGCCGCCAACTCTCAATGTGGTTGTCAGGGACTGGTTTCTCGTGATATCAGGCGATTGTGACATGGGGTTAGCAGGGAAAACACCATCTTACCCTCACCAGCCCAGCAGGACGTGCAAGGGAAAGGAGAAATCGCGGAACTTGGCCATGCGTGCTGTCCCGCGCCGACCGCCAAGGATTTTCAAGCGATGGGGGTCCAGTCTTCCTCCTGGCACCTGCCATATGAAACTGGAGCTGCATTAGTTACGCAAAAAGGCCATCTTGATGATGAGTCAATGGCAAACCGTGGTTGAAGGTAGATCGAGCGCGCGGCAGGCAATGCCGACATGATGGAAGTGATGTGACACATGGAGTTGAGTGCAATCAACGCGCAGCAGGGGAGCAGTTTTCCAGGGAAGCGCCCGTTGGCTTCTGCAAAACTTGAGGGAAACTTGCTCAGAATCCGGTCTTACTTCCTGCATTAGTTTCCAGGCCAAATATCTCTGACACATTGTACTATATGTAGCAGTGTAGGCTTTACACGCAATGTAATGACACTTGCATTGTAATGACAAATGTGTGACACATGTTTGCGCAAGTGCGCGCGTGCGGGCGCGGGCGTGCGCGTGTGCGTGCGCGCGTGCGCGCGCGCGTGCTTGCGCCCTCGTGCGTGCTGGCGGGCGGGCGTGGGTGGGTGGGTGGGTGGGTGGGTGATTGGGTGAGTGGGTGGGTGTGTGGGTGGGTGGGTGGGTGTGTGTGCGTGTGTGTGTGTGTGCGTATGTGCGCGTGTGTGTGCCGAAGTTCTTGAGAGCCCTGGTTACAAGGAAGGGAACAAGGCACGTTGGGTGCTCAGAGAACCCCAGGGTTGCCAGCAGAAGGATAACCTTTGCTGATCATTGCACTTACGTGTGTTGCGGCGCAGTTCCAAGCGACTAAAAAAGCACGCGGTCCATCATAATGTAGCTGGCGCCAAGAGGTTGTAACCAGGCTTTTTGGGCACTCTTGCCAAAAAGTGTACGAGTGACTTTTGACGAGCGCGCGGGTGGAGCGTACGAGTAGGGCGTGCGAGTGTGCGAGTGGAACGGGCGAGCGAGCGGACAAGTGGACGAGGCGCCCGAACACTCGCGCGCCCTACTCGCACAGTTTCACTCGCGCAGAAACACGGGTTTTTGTAGACCTTATTTTTTGATCTGCAACTGGAAGCAGTATTCGTGACCAAAAGATAATGTTTAAACAAATGGCCTTATTTCTGCACGAGTGAAAGTGTGCGAGTAGGGCGTCAGAGCCAGCAAGAGTATCCCTTTTAGTATGAGGTTCTAGCCTTGTAACACCAAGAGTCGGTTTCCTGAGGCATCTGATAAAAGCACCGATGGTAAACCCTCGCAGCGCGCGCGTGTTAATATTTGTTGCAGAGGGCCGAGACCTTCACAAGCGCTCGTCACACTCTCGAGGATCCCTCGTTGACTGCGAGACCCAGAAGATCACGGCAACCACGAGGTCCACCGCAGTGGCAGCGCGTGGCTTGATGCTTTGTCTCGGCGCATGCCATTGTGCCCGAGGACTTTGGTCAGCATAACTGGCGAACCGGCAGATGTACATCGGAACCGATTGCGGCGGAGTTAGTGGACCGCGGCAACGAGACAACATGATTGACCCCGGGCCAACATTATCATCAAACCTACTAACCTCCACCAAGACTAGCCCAGGTGGAAGTAGAGTTGCCAACATTGCCTTCTCTAGCTGCGTCGCCCCTCAGTACTTGTCCTCGTCGGATGGATCTCTTCCTTGCTGAATCCTAGCCAAAGCTGCGGCGCTACTCTTCAGATCTTCGTTTTCCGGCGTTGAGTTGCTGGACGTACCCCTTTCCGATACGTAGTTCCCTTTCTCTTTCGCCTTGCTTCAGCAATGCGATGTTTGCATGCATCAGTCTTTGCTTCTCCTTCTCCATCCCGTCTGCAACTGCTTCTCCCCGTAGGTTCTCAGCGTATTCCTCATCGTGAGTTCGCTCTTGAGGCGCTCTTGTGTAATGCTCAAGTATAGCGCAGTCTTACCTTTGCCAACGCACGTTCACGATCTGCTTGTACCGTTGCTTCGCCGTTCACGCAGATTGCGTCATATTGGTCAACAGCTGCTTTGGCAATGTTAGCCTCTTCTCGCGCGTCAGCAGGGCGCCTCACTCGCCTGTGTCGCAGGCATACTTGAAGACTCGTTTGGATAAAGTTCAGGAGGATGTTGGATGTCTAGTTCTTCCAAACGTCCGCGCGGAACGGCTGTTGCTTAATTCTTCACGGAAGTTGTCGAACTTTGCCTTGATCTCGATGTTTCGCAGCGTGTGTTCCAGTTGGGACACTTGTGCAGAAGAATGAGCAGCGTGCTCCCATGCCGCTCGCCTTGCGTATCCTCAAACTTCCTGTTGATCATGTGAATGGTCCTTGAAGCCGACTCCAGTTCACGCTTCAGGTACGCGGAGTATTGGGAAAGCAACCAGGGAAATAAGTCATTGAGATCACCATCTACCACAAGCGCAAGCAAGAAGAGTGTGGGGGAATGACAATGAAAGATAGGTCAAAACCAATTTCTGTCACTTCCAAGGTATGAGGGGAATTTGCTCAAGCCATGCCCCTTTTTCGAACTTCCTGATGAATCGTGACCAAATTTGCGTGCGCTTGTCTCCTCTAAACGATCCGTTGCGCCGCTTTCTTGGCGACGTAGTCGATGAATAAGGCACCAATCCCAGATATCGCAGAGCCTTGCGCGGCGTAAAACCTCTCGGGGCGAAAGCAGCTGAAGAATAGTGAGATGTAGCGCCTGAATACGATTGACCAGGACGCACCACTTCCGTTCCGTGTAGGGTAGAACCTAAAGGTTTTGCCAAGCAACGCCGGCCCCGGATTGGGTAGGGGGTTGGATCGTGGCTATGGCTCCAGCGGTCGCACACTTTTGGCACTCACTCTCACACGCGTAGTATGTTGTCTTGAGCGCCATGAACCAAAACCACAACGCAGAGTTTTGGGGGCCGTACATCCGATTCGTGACTCCAAATATGGCACGAATCTCTTGCCCTCAGGTTCTTCTGGCCGCACGAACGTTCTTAAGGACCGCATTTTGTTTGAGTTGCCCACCTGCGATCCACCTTGAAGAGGGCAGGAACGCCAATATAGGGTCTCAATTTGGCTATGACGCGGCGCAGTGGAGTCGAGGAAGTGGTTTACGACAAGAAAATGCACCAGGATCATGCCGTAGCACTGAAGTGAAGGTCTGCGAGATTCAGTTGCGCTGCTGCACGCAGCATCTGAGTCTCTTACACACACAAGCAAGTTCTTCCACGTTACGACGCGTCGTCGGCGTTTCGAGGTTGCCGCGGTCATCGTATACCGTTGGAACAATTTTCATACACCTTGTTGTAGGCGACTCGTACATCTGCGTGACGGTCTTGCGAAGGTTGCTGGATACTTCTTGAGGGCGTCATTCCGGTCACCAACATGTGGCCACCTCTGGAAAATTGAATACCACGGACGCCGTCATCAAGATTTCCGCGATTTTGTTGAGTCGTTGGTTGGTGTGTGAAGTCTGGCCTCTCGTCCTTTATGAAGCAACACTGCTAGAAATACGCGGCTTTGTGCACCTCGAAAAAAATGTAGAATGGATGTTTCTCGGAGACACCAACTAGTTGTTCTGAGGTGCGGTTGTTGGACGGGGCTTCTTTGGCTCATTGTCATCGGAACCTTCGACTTGGAATTCGTCCGGGCCGCAGATCAGGCTCATCAGGCTTGGCGGGCTCACTCTCCTTGCTCGAAACAGACGCTGCTGCGGCCCGATCACCTGCTCGACATGGACGGGTTTGTTTCCGTTCTGGGTCTGGAGGCTTAGCTTGTACCATTTGGAAAATTCGCCGCATGGTCCGAAAGCTGTAGCTCACTACTCAAGCACACTTGGTTGCGAACGGGTGGGCAGACACAAGTTTCTTGATCGGTACGGGCGGGGCTCTTCATCTTGGCAAACTTCTGCAAGTTGCTTGATTTGAGGTGAGGCGCATGAAATGTTCTCTGCCAGGGATGTCAAAGCGCTGTGTGTGTCGCACGCCAGCCATTCGTCTAGGACAGCAGCTTCAGAGGCAAACAACGCACCTCGTCCAGAGTCTTTGCGAGGAGGGCAACAGTGGCCAGGCGCGAAATTTTGCCCATGTGCGCTGCTTAGCAGATAGCCTGAAAGAGGGCGAGTTGATCATATCCGTCATGGCGGGCGTACTTCCTTGTTGACTTCCATTCCGGACCATGTTTCAGAACAAGGCTTCTCATCTTCTTCCCTCCGTCGTCGTCATCGCCAGCAGGATCGTCTGAAAAATCACCGCCCCCGGCTGCAAAAAGTAGTATTGTCTCTTCTATCTCCACCAATATGCCCGCGTAGGCGTGTGGGGGGCACACCCCCCCCCCCCCACGTTTCCACCGCCAGATGATCGTCGTCGTCGCAGAATAGCAGTGAGGGGCCAGAGCCGAGAGCGCGGGCGGAAAGAACGAGGACTTCGAGGAAAGAGGCCGAGCAGGTTACTGTACCACGCCACTCAGCTTGAGAACTGGGAAATGACCTTGGCCATGAACACATGCAGCGCATCAGCCGATCCTGACACAGAAACATGGGTGAACGTTGCGTTCGGTGTGAACCCGCACCTTGTTGGAAGGAGAACGCTTTGCAACGCTCAGGGTCAAGCTATTTATAGCATTGCAGGCAATGTTGAGAAATAGCTCCGGGGCTGCGAAGGCTATGGCTGGATGCTACTCGACATGCGGAATTTCGACAAAAACAAGGGCTCATCAGGCTGCCATGACACTGCAATCATTCCGCTCAGCGACAGATCTGTTTTGGCATTTGCCATAGTGGTTCTCGCTGGAATGCAGCACCCTGGTGAGAAGATTCTTGCAGAACCAAGCGGTCTGATATCCTCCACCAAACGTGTGTTGACGACAGTCCCAAGGAAATTACTCTACGTGATGTTCTGTACAAGAAGACCAAGGGGAGCAAGAAGATGGAACATGGTCTCCAGGTGTTTGCGAGATTACCTGAGACACGCACGCAGAAGAACCCTGCTCAGCCTCATTGATCATCAGTTGAGAGCGGATCGCGAAGCAGGTCTACGAGAACAAGGTGAAATCGGTCAGAAGCGTGTTGCAGCCCAGCTGAGAAGGCGGAACCATCTCCCCTGTGTTGCCCAAAGACAAGAAAGGTAAAGGCGACGGGAAAGGGGAGG